TCACTTTCACTCTCATTAGCCCTAGACTCTAGATTTTTGAACTTGGCTTTTAGGATCATACATTCCCTAGACAACTCTTCCTTCTCATTGTTAATTATCTCAGACTCATCAATGAAGTCTAGAAGTAGCTCAAACAACCTTTCTTTAGACAGGAATTTAATCTTGTCTTTGAGATGAAGAATACTTACCTCTTGTTCATCTTCTGATTCTCCTATGGCCATAAGTGCTTTTTCATCTCCAGCTTCATCTTTTGAGTCCTCATTTGATGTTTCTCCCCAGGCAGCAACCGTAGCCTTTGTTGATCCTTTGTTCCTTTATAGTTGAACCTGTTCCTTCTTCCTATTCCTTCGTTCAGCCCTTTCCTTCTTCCACTCAATTTCCCATTGAGGACAATTCTTGATCATGTGATCAGTCTTACCACACTTGTAGCAACCCTCATTGGTCTGTTTCTCAGGAGCCCTTGGTTTGTTGAAGGTTGTACCTCTTGAAGAACCCTTTCCTCTCATCAGGTACTTTTTGAAATCTCTTGTGATCATAGCCATTTCATCATTCTCCAGATCAGAACCTTCAGCAATTCTGAGAGCCAGACTTCTTTCCTTCTTTGGTGCATCCATTTTCATGGTTTGCCTTCTCAGTTCATAGGCAGTAAGGTTTCCAATTAGTTCATCCAGCTTGAGGGTAGCAATGTTCTTTGATTCCTGAATAGCAATGATTTTACTTTCCCAAGAGACTGGCAGAACCCTTGTCAAAATCTTCTCAACTTTGTCTTCTTCAAGAATAATCCTTCCAAGAGACTCAAGTTCATTTGTTAGTGTGGTGAACCTTGTATATATCTCTTGGACAGATTCTCCTTCATTCATGGTGAAATTCTCATACTGAGAATGCAGCAGTGTTCCTCTAGACCTCTTCACCAGAGGTGTTACTTCATGAGCCACTTGCAAAGTGTCCCAGATTTTCTTAGCAGTGGTACAACTTTGAATTTTACTGTACTTATTTAGACCTAGTCCACACATAATCCATTTCTTGGCCTTGGCAGTCTTCTCCCACTTCTTCAGGTCTTTAGTAGTGCAGTCAGCTCTTGTCTTTGGCACATCCACTCCCTTCAACATTCTTCTTAGTAGTTGCTAGAGGACCATCAGTGATTATGTCCTAGAGTTCATAGTCTTCTTCTATGATGTGATCCCTCATCCTGTTCTTCCACCATGAATAGCACTAACCATTGAAGAGTGGAGGCCTAGTAGTGGATTTCCCTTCCCAATTCTCAGGTGGTGCACTCATGTTGCTCTTTTCCTAAGGTGTTAGCCTCTTCAAGGATAACCCGATCTAATACCAATTGATGTTCTAAACGTCAATACCATACAAGAGGGGGGTGATTTGTGTGGTACCCAATTTTCGCTCTAGAAGAACCTGGTTCTTCTAGGTGTTCTAGCAATTATTGTTTGCGGAATAAAAAGTACATAAAGTAAAGAACACAGAGATTTTTATGTGGAAAACACCTGGCTCAAAAGGTGAAAAAACCAAGACCTACTACTCAGTAGGATTTTTCCAAACTTCCACTAAAATCACTGAGCCAAAACAGCATTTACAAAACTCTTTGTAAACCTAAGGATTACCTCTAATCCCGTTGTAGCATACAGCCTCAACTGTTGCGACAACTTCAAGTTAGCTTATAACTTGAACACTTAAAGTACCTAATACAATTGCTTCTATGAAAGCTGAAAGGTACAACTTTAAACCACCTACTACAATTGAAATAGAATAAGAAAAAACACAATGGAACTGGTTCTTTTATCTAGTTGAAGTAGCTTCAGGAGTGCATACTCAAATCTCAAACAAATTGCTTGCAAAATCACCTTTCTCTTTTGCTTTCAATTTTGTTTAACTTCTGTGTTTGTGCAATACATGTAAAAGTGAACAATCACTATCATTTAATAGGTTGGAAGTCAGAGTTTGATTGGGACTCAATTTCTGATCTTCTATCGTAGTTGAGTCCTTGAAGATATCAAACTCCAACACTCTCTTTATCCGGATTATGTTCTCTTCATATAAGGAGACTGTCTCCCCTTATCCAATATGCAACCGTTTCGATCAGATCAGGAGATATTGTTGCTTGATCAGTACGACTTATCTCATTCAGGTGCATCTCACATGTGTAGGTTGATCATGACAGTGTTTCACAAGATGGACCTGGTCCATGACTGAGTTGATTTGTCATTCTTTAAAACTTCACCTGTTCTTGAGCCAACAGACACCTTCTGTGTTGATGCATTGTGATTGCAAGCTGCAATAGCCATCGCTAAAAATAAATTCTTTAATGGGAAGAGTAGACATATTCGATTGAGACATAATGTGATAAAGCAGCTGCTGAGATATGTAATTATTTCCATAGATTATGTGAAGTCAGAAGTGAATTTGGCCGATCCTCTGACTAAACCTTTGGGAAGAAAACTAATTTCTGAAAGATCGAGGGGTATGAGACTATTGCCAATTTGAGTTATATCAATAATGATGGTAACCCAACCTATGTGATTGGAGATCCCATGAAGTAGGTTTATATGGGTAATAACAAGTCATTAGTTGATCAAATGTGCACTATTAAATTATGTCCCTTCCTATGGTGCATGTATATAGTGCAAGACTGTAAGGAATGAGAGGCTGAATTAGTAAACTCTTAATCCAGTAATCCATAGCTTTTTATAGGTGGTGTATTGTGTTGCAGAATACACTTGATGGATGAACCTATATGAGTGTGGAGTGGGTCGCTCCTATGAAATTTATGGCAAAAACTTTCTAGAGCACTCATGAAAACCAAGCGCACACATGGCCTATTAGTGCAAAACCGCGACAAATAACATAGTGTGTGCGGGTATAATGTGATAGATTATACACTAAACTTACAAAAGAATTCTTGATTCATAGAAGTTCTAAACATCACCAATTGTTCTGTAAGTTTAATCTTATTTTATCTAGGTCTGGTTTATAGTCCAAGAGACACCAGATTCGACGCATTTTTCTCATTTGTGAAAACCCAGCAAAACTCTTTATTTATTCTATTTCTTAATATTCTTTTTGAGTTATGTGGGGGATTGTCAAGAAAAATATTTTAATATCTCAAAAACAATATTTGAAATTATGTCTAGGTTCATTATCTTAATATAATATTAATGATCTTAACTGATGGAATATTTTTCAATTAAAATTTGAAAACATTAAAACTGATGATTGAAGTTAATTACGAGTACGATTTTAACGTTTTGGCATTTGATAGCTTTCAATGACTTTACGTTTTGAAATCTATACATTTATGGCTTTCACATTTTGGCCTTAAGCCTTAATGGCTTTAACTTTCATCAGATCTATATTACTTTTGGAATATATATAAATATATCTTTTTAAGTTTATTTGAGTGTTTGTGGAAAACTTCTCCTTTTCTTTTGTGGTGGGTTTTCTTTTATACAATCTTTGTTGTTTCTTCTCCTAGTTATACTAGAAGAGCTTGTTGAATCCTGGGGGATACGCCTAATAATATTTATCACGGTCTGAGCGGACAATGTCCTTGACACGCCTCAAGCTAAATTCATATTCTCCATATTCATCAAATTTTTTCCAACACCATGTTCCCCTATTTGATGCTTCCCGTATGTTTATTTAATATTTTACGACTTGTGGGATAGGTAGTTTGATTTTCATGGGGTTCGAAAATGATTAGGAACACTTAGAGCCCGTTTGGGCATAAGAAATTTTTTCCTTTTTTCCAATAAAAATCATTTTTTTCTGAAACCAGCGTTTGTTCATAAAATTTTCAATTTTCACTTGAAGATGCATTTTGGAAATTTTCGAAAATTTAAAAAACTCCAAAAAGCCGTTTTTCAAATTTTTACTCAAATCACTCACAAAACTTCAAAAACAACCTAAAATTATTATTTTTTTAGTCAGTCCGCTAGGCAAATGCCTAGGGCTAGTTTTATTTATAACCAGATAAAATACAAAATAGAATGTCATGATATCCTACGAACTGAAAGGAATAAAGTTTGAACTTAACAAGTATCCTATTATCAAAATTGAGTGTTGCACTCAACATTGATATCACATTAATGCTATTAAACTTTGTAATACACTTATGCATCCAAGAATGTGCATGTGAAAGGCTTTTACAGCGCACAATGCAACGTTCCTTCTATTAAAAAAACCCAGTTGTTTGTAGCAATTCCATATCTTTTTCGACACTTGTTTTCTCTTTTGTTTCAAAAACGCATGTTGTACTTTGTTTCCGTATTGAGTTCCCTCCATCCTCCATAGTAGACTCACATGCTCTCCTCGAGTTACTTTCAGCAAATAGTCTAGGCGTGCAAATCCATTTGGAACTGTCATGCCTCCATGTTCGATCACGTCCCAGCTACCAGCATCCGTTCGTCAAAATTCTGTCCCACATGCTGGTCGCATACCGGTGCACAACATTAAGCGTGCACGACATCTGCTTTGTGCACGACATCTGCATGTGATGGAGCCGACACCTGCTTTGTCTTTGTGCACGACATCGATGAAGCCGAGGAGTCAAGACAGCTTTGTGGTGGAAAGCACGTGAGCTCCACCTACAGCTGCACCATAAAGAAATATATCACATAGTAGCATCATCCTAGAGTATTGCATGCTTTTATGTATCCTAGATAACTTTCCATGTGTATTACCCTTTTCCATGTGATCCCTTTGCTCAACAGCATGTGTTGTTTGCCATGCCTTCCACATTAAACCATGTGTGCACATTAAAATATTTTTATGAATCATAAAATGCCACAATGCACAGTTAGATGTAATTCGATCCTTTGCATTTTCGAAAAAGTGTTCTTGTCTGAAAGCATATGTATCTTGTGTTTCCAACTCGCATGTTTTATATTTCTTTCAGTCCTTTGCTCAGATCCTTTTTATGTCGTTGCACACTCCAATTCATTTGGCTTCTGATGATTTTCTCTTCTTAAAAAAATACATGCTCAGCTTATTTCTCATGCTATTGCATTACTTCCCTTTGTTGTGAGATATGTTGTGAAAGTGCGTAAACCCATCTTTAGTGTCCTCCCAGTGGATTGAAAGCACTGCATTCCTACCATCATTTCAGATTCTACTATAAGATTAGGCTTTAGCTTCGATGAAATCCCTGCAAAAAAGTGAACAAAGTTATTCAAAAAATTGCTATCCAAACTCTCCTCCAGAATGATTTGAGTGTGATAACAAAAAAAATCCTTTTTTCCTCCTAATTCCTTGCAACTTTCACTCTTATGTAAGGACATTGCATCTTATCTTCATTAATAATCCTCCTTCCTTTTGAGTCCAGATCCCAGAAACCATGGCACTCAGTATTTCCTTCATCGAGGGCGTAATTGGCAATATGGTCTGCTAATGTATTCCCTTCTTTGAAAATGTGTGTGACCTTGATGTTACTTTGTTCCTTCAATATTAAAATCTCCTTTACATGTTTAGTAGTATACCATGGAGGCTTCCATGATTCCTCTATAATGTTCTTTAATAGCATAGAACCTGTCTGCAGCCATATTCTGCCAAAATTAAAAATTTTGCACATCTTCAAAGCCTCCACAATAGCTACCGCTTCTGATTCATTGTTGGTTCCTTCAGAAATCTCTCTTCCTTCTGCATATATCAAATCACCTGCCTCATCCTTATGCATAAACCAATTGAACTCCTACCTGGATTCCCTCTACATGCTCCATCCGTATTCACTTTGATCCATCCTCTTGAAGGAAATTCCCATAATACTTTATCATATTTCAGTCGAGGTGTGTATTGCTCCATCATTGTCAGTAAGTCCAGCCACTTGTGAGGCACATGTAGTCCTGGCTTTTTCAGTTGGACTAGTGCTTGCAAAGTAGATGACACCAGGTAAATAACTCTGCTCACTGACACTGCATCTCCATATTTCAAACTGTTTCTTCTCTTCCAAAGTTCCCATACAATACATGTAGGTAAAGCTTGTAAAACTTGCTTCAATATAGGTACTACTAGTGTTGTCCAACACTTTGTAATTGCTTGATGTAATGACAACCTATCTAATGCAATTCCTGCTCTCCTTAGGAAGTAACTCCAAACACTTCTAGCTGCATTTGACGTGAAAAACAAATGTACTAAAGACTCCTCCTTAGGGTCAGCACAGCACCAACATTTAGATGGAATGGAGTATCCTATTTTACGCAAAATATCATCAAGTGATAGTTTTGCTTTCCACACCTTCCACAGGAATAATGATATCTTGAAAGGTAAACCTTTTACCCATATCATCTTGTAAGCTAATTTTGGGTTGACTCTTCTTCTCAGGTAATCCCATGCAAATTTTACTGTAAAATGTCCCTTTGTTTCAAGCATCCAGAACGGAGTATCTAACTGGGAACTATCAGTTGGTGGTCTAATATTCTGCACAATATGTTTGCCAAATCTTCAGGTAGGCTCTCAAAAATTCTATCCACATTCCACATACCATTTTCAACTAGATAGTTGACATTATGAATATCTTCATCGATACCAAAATCTGCAGGCACTTGAAAATATAAGGCTCCTATCTCAGTCCAATTATCGAACCAGAATTGAGCTGATCCCATTCTCAATTTCCAGTAGATTTGATGCTCAATCAAATCCCTACATTCTAGCATTTTTCTCCACACTCGTGATCCACATTTCCAAGGTACAATTACTGCATTTAGTTTCTTGCAGTACTTTTGACAAATAAATGCACTCCATAAAGTGGGCTTAGTCCTGAAATTCCACCACAATTTGCAGAAAAGTGCCTTCGATACGTCATGCAGGGACCTGAAGCCTATGCCTCCCTCGTCAAAAGGCATACACAGGTTAGTCCAAGATGCCCAGTGTCTAGTGCTGCCTCCGATATTGCTGCTCCAGAAAAACTTTGCAAAAATGCTATATAATTTGTTGATCACATAATTTGGAGGATTGATGCTGACAACATATGAATTGGGATACTCTGCAGGACATTTGCGATTAAAACAACTCTGCCTCCTACAGACAGATGTTTGCCTTTCCATGACTGAAGTTTGTCCATAACCTTGGTGATTAATCCCTTGTAATAGTCTCCCCTTCTTCTTGCATAAAAAATAGGACAGCCAAGACAGGTAATGGGGAAACCCTGTCTTCGTATACCTGTAATCCTTTCCACCTTGTTAATCACCTCATTATCCGTTAAATGATGCATGTATGTGGCTGACTTTGTTTTGTTCACCTGTTGACTAGATGATGATTCATAAGCTTGCAGAACCTCCATGACAAGTCTCAACGAAGTTTCATCAGATGAGCAAAAAATGATTGTACCATCAGCGTATGATAGATGATTTATTTTTGGGCTCCATTTTGGCATTCCAAATCCACAGAAATACAGGTTAGTGTGTAGTGAATTCAAACCCCGAAAAAGTGCTTCTGCTGCTAGAATAAATAGAGTTGGTGACAAAGGGTCACCTTGTTTAACTCCCATCGATGATTTGAAAAAACCATTAGGCTGACCATTTATAAGCACAGAGTACCAATTGTTCCCAATCAAATCAAAGATCAAGCCAATAAAAGCTTCAGGAAATCCCATTTTCCTTAGTATGTTGGTCAGGAATAGCCATGATAGCCTGTCGTAAGCTTTTTCCATATCAAGCTTAATCACAACGTTAGGACCTGCTTTTGTTCTCAACCTGATATCTGTAATGATTTCTTGAGTTAACAGTACATTCTCAACTATGCTCCTGCCCTTCACAAAACCTGCCTGTTCCTCTGAGATTATGTTTGGTAGTAATTCAACCAACCTCTCATGAATAACCCTAGAGAAAATCTTGTTAACAAAGTTACTAAGATTGATTGGTCCCATGTCTGCAAAGGGCATAACTTCTTTTTTCTTTGGTAATAAAACCAGGTTTGTGTGCGTAACACTCTTTGGCAGTCGTTAACCGCAAAAGAAAGCCTTGACCATTTGACAACATCTTCTTCAATAATTTCCCAGCATGTTTGGTAAAATGCTCCAGTGAAACCATCCGGTCCATCGGCAGAGTCCCCATTCAACCTCATAACTGCTCTCTTCAATTCTTCATTGGAAGGCAATGCCATCAATCTTTCATGCTGATCACTATCTACCATTGAAGGTACATGATTTAGAATATCGAAATCATTTGGGACTGCACTCTCAGCAAATTGATCCTTGTAGAAACTTATTGCTTCTTCTGCTATTAAGTGATCTTCTTCAATCCAGTTACCAAGGCTATTCTGGTTACTTGATAATTTCAGTCTCTTCCTTCTCCCATTAACTTGAGTATGGAAGAATTTAGTATTTCTATCGCCATATTTGAACCATAACATGCCAGCTTTTTGTCTCCAAAATTCTTCCTCTAATGCAAGATATTTAATCATTTCAGCTTGTACCTGTTGTAATCTTTGTCTATTCATCTGTGTAGGATTGACTTGAAAATGTCTTTCATGAACCAGGACTACCTCCTCAAGGCTTGCAATCTTCTGGAATATATCCCCATATGTAGCTCTGCTCCAGGTAGATAGTTCTTTCTTAAGCTTCTTTAACTTGAAGTTAAAAATGCAGAAAGGGTTAGCACTAAAATCAGCATTCCAATTCTCTTTTACTAAATCTTTAAAGGTTTCATGCTTAGTCCAGAAGTTAAGAAATCTGAATGACTTCTTAATTGGAGGAGTTTCTATATCACATTTCAGCATCATTGGGTAATGATCAGACCCAATTTTGGACAAGTGAGTTACCTCCAATCCAGGAAAAGTCTGTTGCAATTCATGATTTCCCAAACATCTGTCCAATCTTTTAAAAATACAGTCGTCCTCTGATCTTCCATTCCACCATGTAAATATGCTTCTTTTAAATCCCAAGTCTGTCAAGTTGCAGGTATTGATGCAGTGTCTAAAGTCATCTACTTCAATGAGAAAAACTGGCAAGCGTCCAAATTTTTCTTCCTCATCCCATATCATATTAAAGTCGCCTCCAACTAGCCATGGTGCTATCATATCTGATGCCATTGCATACAAAGAATCCCATAGTTCAATTCTTTCAATGTGATCACATTTGGCATAAACTAGAGTAAGGATAAGCTCAACATGTGTTTCAGTGTGCATTAATCTCAAAGTCAGCTGTTGAGTCATGTTATACAGAATAGTAACCTCAAATATTTCATCAATAAAAGCCCAAATCTTGTTTGATACATTCACCACAGCCTGTGCCAACCCAATTCTTGCTCTATACCTCTCCATTTTGTGAGACTGTTGCATAGGATCAAGGATTCCTATGAACTCAAAGTGATGTTTTCTGTGCATTGTAATCAGCCTTTCAAATGCTTGCATTGTATTTACTGACCTGACATTCCATATAATTGCATCCATTAAATGATTTTTGGTTTGGACAGTATTCTCCTTGTTTGTACTCCACCGGCTAGGACAGTGGATGTCTGTTTTGACTGTTTCTTTTTTCCCTTTGTTGCAGATTTTACTCTATCAATAAGACTTGGCGACAGATCACCCTGCTTGGCAACATTAATGAAATTTTGTGAAGTAGATTCCTCATCCATGTCTGTACCTTTAAGTTCTGCGTGACCAAATTGGTTATGTGCTTCTATTGCTTCTTTTGATGTCACAAAATCGTATGCATGATTGGTAAATTCAACATCATTTGCCTGATTGATAAGTTCAGCATCTTTTTCTTCAAGTTCATTTGTCAACAGCTGTGTATTGTTCGATGGAACAACACTTCCTGATACATCCTTCCCTGTGCTCAATTGTATAACACTTCTCGCATAGACTTGCACTATCTTCTCTTGGTTCTTGTCTGAATTTTTCTGTTGATTATTGTCTTTATTTTCAGCTTCCTTCAAGACATTACGAAAATCATTATGTGAAGTCCCTCCTGGATCTATAATATTGATGTTCCCCTCTTTTGTCTTTTCTTCTGCTACATTTGTGCATTCACTTAATGTATGAATATTGATTGCATTGGCATTACAAATAAAACTTTGATTCTCATCTTCCACTTCATTTCCTCCAAATTATTTTTCACTATGCATTGTATCTGGAATCTGCCCATCTGTTAAGATTTCCTCTATTTGGTTGATCCATAATCTCCCTCCTGCCCATTTATTATTTTCATTGGTCCTGAATTTCTCAAAATCTGTATCTTCAATTAATTCATTCTCTTTAATGTTTTCTAAATGTTGTTCAAATTTGGTGTCCTATGAAAGAAAATCTTGACATGAGGTAATGGCCTGAACTACATTATTTTTGAATGCTTCTTGCACCCATTGGGCAGTTGAGTAATTGTCAAAATGCTGCTCAATCCCCAAATCTTGTTGTACACAATCTGCTGTTGATTCCCTTTTTGCTGCATGATATCTTATTGTTGTAGGATTGAAAGTAGGTGCTGCATGGTTCAGTTTTTTTGGTTCTGACATAGCTATTGGTCTCCTAGATGAACTAGGTGAATTTACCTTTTGCACCATTTGTCAAGTGAAAAAATCAAATTGCATCTCTTCTGACTCCTTCTCCGCAACTGTATGATTTTTTCGGAGAACACTGTCAATGAATTGATTTGTACAAAGTTCTTCACTGTTTTCCACTTCTAAACATGCAAAACTATTTGTTGTCTGAACTTGCTGTGTTGTTCCTTTTTGATTGTTTATAGGCACGATTTCTTGTCCAGTATTTGCTAAAACTGTTGCCTATTTCTCTTTTGCTTGCACTCTCCTATCTTTGACCTCCTTCCATTGAGCAACTTGATTTCCAACAACTCTCCCACTTTTAAGTACTATTATTGGAGCATTTTTTGTTTTGTTGTCCTTGTTGGGCTGCTCTACAGCATCAGTTGAAGCCTTCTTCTCATCATTTCTGCTGGCCATTAGTTCATGATGAATTTTCCAGCATTCGAACATATCATGGCCCTGAAGCTTACATTCCTTACAATACTTGGGCAGATAGCCATATTTGATAGTTACCAACTCAGTTCTAATATCTCCAGTAGGCTCATTAACAATGTCTAATTGAACCTTCTTAGGCATGTCTTTTAGCAGGTCCACCAAAACTTTCACTCGAGCACAATTAGGTCTTGTTTTCTTTACAGTAGCCAAGTCCAACTGGAGGGGTATACCGACTACAGAAGCTAGTGCAAACAAGCATTCTCTTACGAAATAAGTAGGCAGCAGATTAGGGAATGAGATCCACGCCATTACCTTAGGAGTCTCTTCGTCAACTTTGAATTTAGCATCATAAATCAAGGTTCTTAATTGATATTCATTTCCAAGCTTATCCATTACATAATACACACCTTTTGATGAGAAGTCTACATAATCTTGCCATAATGAAAAATGAATCAAAATGTGCCTATCACGTAGATATCCAATGTTGCATTCAGCTTTGATACCACACTGTAAAGGAACAATGCGACGTATTTCATTGATATCCGGCCATCCGTAAGAAAATTTGCAAAAAACAACCTATTGCAAACCTTCCATTAAATTCATGCATTCAACTTCTGCTTCAGAAAATCATACAGTTGGTTGTCCTTGAAATATATGGGCTTGTCTTGGAGGAATTGGCTCAACTATTGCTGCATGTTCTTGCATTGTCGAAGTGCTGTTCGTAGCTTTTACAACATTTGCATAGTCCATAGTTTTTGTGCCATTAGAAAGCTTGGTGATGTTAGGGGGTGGTTGTGGAGGTAGCCCCACGTGAGTGGGTGGCTGGCCACTGGCCATGGTAGCACTGTGTGACAGTTTACCCTAAACCAACCTAGAACACTAAGGACGATTCTTCAAAATCTTGATACTTCGCATAAAAGTTGTAAAACATTGAAGAGACTTGCTGCTACATTAATAGTAGCCAAATCAAGATTGAATATCTGCCAGATAATTCACCAAGAGAGATGTGTTTCTACAGTAACAAAACTAGACTTAAGATCTGTAACTTCTTGATAAAGAAATCAGTGAAAAAACAAGGGTAGGTTGTTTGTGATGAGAATGGTGTTCTTTTAAGACCAATTTTTTAGTGATCCCTCGCCGGATGAAAAAGTTATGGCTGATGAATAGTGACCGAATCACTATTCATGGTCTTCTCCATTGGATACTTAAAATTATATTCATGTCCAAACACAACTCTAAATTTCAAATACCATTACCACTTGAAATTTTTTTTCACCATTTTTTGGAATTTCACAATTCTTATGTCCAAATGCCCACTTAGTTTTATTTTGGAAAGCTTAGGTTGTAAGAGTTGACCAAGGTCTGACTTTTGCGTAAATGATATTGGAATTGATATTTGAGGGTTTAAAAGATTTGTATGATGATTTTGGACTTCGCATTTGTTCGAATTTAGATTTGGAGATTTATAGAAGACGGATAGTTGACTTTAAGGTTATCAGACTCCGAATGTTGTGCTAGGACTTCGCATAGGTTTGTGTCATTGTATGAAACTTGGATGCAAAGTTTGATTGAGATCCGAGGTGTGTAGGCATGAATCAAATGCTTGATTGAAAATTTAGAAGTTCTGGAGTTTAAGCGAGTCCAATGTGTGGTTTAATCTTTTGGTTCTTAGATGTGATGCTTTCGTATGTACTTGAAGGCTTTGGGTAGTTTGTTTATAGACTTTTTTGTATGATTGTACGGAGCCCCAGGTGGCTCGGGTGAGTTTTGGACCACATGGAGCATATTTGGAGATTGCTAATTTTTGGTGTCTGGTTGTTCATCACTTTTGCGAGAAGTGTCCTGTGTTCACAGTACAAGAATTTGGGGTTGGGGCTGATGTGCTCGTGTTCGGGGAAGGGGAGTTGTGTTCTCTATCACGGACCAAATCCCATAATAGGTCGTGATGGTGCCCAACGATCCTGCTAGTCAAGCCACGTGCAAACCATCACTTAGTTATCCATTTTAATTTTTGAAAATCAAGAATTTCATTCAATAAATAGAATAAAATCTAGCACTCATAGAAGCATTTATTTTTCTTTCCCAAATTTCTGAGTATAAATAAATCATAAAGTGAGGTAATAATAATAACATAAAATACAACTATGAACATTTACTAGAGACCTCAAAAATCAGGTATCATGAGTGCGCGGGTATCTACTGGAACAATACAACACTACTACAACATTTGTTTGGAATATAAAACAGATAAGATAAAATAAATTAATATGATGAAGACTCAGTGTGTTGCGGATCGTAACATGGAATGCAGCTCACCATAAAGTCCCTTCAGTAGCTGGACTTATGCGCCAAGATGATCACCAAATGTACATGTCTCAGTACCTGCACGATCAGTGCAAAAGTGTAGCATGAGTACATAAATCAACGCATACCCAATAAGTATCTTGCCTAATCCCGAAGAAGTACTAATGAGGGATCGGTATCGACACTTACTAATGGTCCAATAAATCATGTATACTAAAAGTAGGCATGGATAAAGCATGGCAAGTAAAATAGTGAGAGCAGATATAGATTCACAATACGATCCACAACAGGTCAGGTAAACTCACGGGTACACTAACTTCATATCAGATATTACGCACGATTCTGCCGAGGTGAGCGGCCCGATCCCATAACAGTAAAGCCACAATTTCCTACCGTAGCGTAAGGCCCGATACCTGCCGAGGTCATTCTGTCCAATCCCATAATCATGTATACTGCCGAGGGTCGACCAACATGAACTATATACGCATCTCATAATACGGCTGAGGTGACGACCCTATCCCATAATGATACTGCTGAGACGTTTGACCAAATCTCATAGGAATAGTGAAGATTTGACGGGTCACTAGCCCCACTTATGAATATATATGTGAGTTATGAAATTCCATAAATTTTCAGACAAATTTGTACAATACGGTAAAAATCCATAAAAAGAAGTATAATCTTTACTTCTAATCAAGTGGTTTTCCAAATATCTAAAATCGAAATCCGATACTTTATGCAAGTCTAGTCTCACGACAAATATGATACTTAAGGCATGCAAATAGGCAGAGATAACTCAACTAATACAATTAAAGCATGGTGTGAGTCTAAATCTACCTAGACCTAATCAGGAATTCTAGCATACATACGGACACTTGTCACCTCATACGTGCGTAGTCTCCACAACATGTAGCATATAACAAATATAGCACCTATTGGGTAAATTTCGCCTCACAAGGTTAGACAGGAGACTTATCTCGCTCTGACATCTGATAATCGACTCCCATGCCTCTCTAACACCTCAAATCAATGCCAAACAATCAAAACTAATCAAACAACGTACAAACCAATTAAAATATACTCCAATTCTTGTAATTTAACAATTCATAACAATTCTAACTCCGCTCGTAAAGTCAACAAAGTCAACTTCGTGACCACATGCCCGAATTTCAA